CCAAGATCGTTAACTAAGATCGAAAGATTCAACTAGAGAAGAGGAAGCTAGAAAGGAGAAGGAATATTTTGAATAAGAGAACTTTCTTAAGAAAACTCTTTGATTAGATGATTGGGTTATGGTTACAAATGTACAATACTATCCCTTATTTATACTTACTTATGGATGATTCTAGATACTACAAAATTTAGACTATTCCATAATTCATTACAAATATCTAATTCCTTTAAAACATCTACAAGAAAAATCTAGTAACATTATCTTCTACTCTAGAATATCTAGATATTTCTACAAGATACTTATTCAAGTGAATATACTAGGTTATTCTAGAAACTATGATATTTGATCTTAAAAAGAAATCATTTTAGATATTTTCACAAAGAGAAAATGTAATTATAGCTAAAAGTATGTTTCAAATTGTATTTTATTGTATTAGAATTTATATTTTATTTTTTATACACAGATCCTTTAGTATATAGTTCAATAAATATAGTGTATCTGCATTTTAAGCATAGTCATGTTTTCTTTTCTGTTTATTTTTTTATGATTTTAGTTTTTTATACAGATGAAAGATTTTGTCTATAGCAAGTCGGCTTCTAACAAAATGTAATTCAATCAATATGGCAATATTTTTGTCTATATATTTTAATGCTATGTTTTTTATTATGGATGCCATGACTTTATTTAATTTTCTTTCTTTGACGTTTGAACTTGTAATTTTTTCTATAAATTTGATGTTACACCACCTAGACATTTTGTAATATTTTTTTATACACATCTTTTTTATAGCCAATTTCTTTTTCGATTATTAAAACTCACGTTTGGTAATTAAAATATATTAATTCTTCTGATATAATAAAATATTTATTTTTCACGAAGCATTACAAATATCAAACCTCCAACATCTGACACAAGATTTTCGTGCTATATTTTGTGAATTTATAGTGATGACTTTATGTACACTCCAGTATGATATATTTACTTATATAAATTAATTTTTCTAATGTCAATTAGGGGACAAACGTGCCATGCACGTTCCCAAGACTAGTGTCTATATATTCAACCGCTCTAATACATCTTAAAATTTCATTAAATGGCAATGTTTATCGAATCTTCCTAATATTTGGATTAAACACTTCCCAATTCATATTGGAATATACTTGTGTCGTTGTAGTTACTTAAATCATCCAAAGAAATTCTTAATAGAAACTCATAAGACTCCTAAAATTTAGGAGGGTTATACTAATGAAGATCCCCAGGTGGATACAGAATCCAAATTCTATCAAGATTTTAGTATTGATACTCCCTCAGTCCCTAATTACTTATCTATTTTTCCTTTTATAGTTGTCCTTAATTACTTGTCAATTTTGACAAATCAAGAAAGGACAATACCTATTATACCCTCAATTAAATGACTAATTATTTTAAAAAATGTAGAACTTTTCATCCACTTAATAATTAATAGGGATAAGAGGGAAAAGAAACCGCATACTTCAGGTAAGGTTTTTTCTTTTCTGGCAAGTTGTGCTTTATGTAATGCATATATATGTTGATTGTTACAATGGGTGGGAATAATAGGTATATGGTTGATGATAAGGAATGTAGGGATGGGCTCATAATGGCTGAATTTTTTTTTTGTACTTATTAGGGTAGGAGACAATACATTAGTGGAGATTAATTTCAAGGCTTAATATTAGATAAGGGTAGATTGATGATGGGATAAATCCAAAGTAATGAATTGGTGGTATTGGGAAATTAATGTACGGCGGGGTGACGACCTTATGTTATTTTTTTTTACTTTTCGTTTCTTTCCAGGGCGTAAGTTACAGATAGGGTAGTTGGTTTACTTATTTTGGATTTTATTTTCATGATCTTTAGATTGGACACAAGTTTCGAAATAGTAAATTAAGTAATTAAATATAGGTATATTGCATTATATGAACAACATTAAAGTTATGTTATTTGGAGGAATTAAGACTTAACTCTGGGTTTGAGATTTTAGAACTTGATTATATACATTTAGATGAGATTTTGGATATAGGATAAATGTACAGTAATATGGGTGTATACGGACTCGTTTACTTACAAAAATGCATATTTGATAGATTGAAAACATTCTGAAGCTTTATGAAAGGAAAAGGCAAGATCTTGAGGATTCGTGACACGTGTCCGACATTCGAGGTATGTTAAGACTTTCTAGACTTCGTTGAAGAACAATTTCTAATTAAAGATTAAAAATGGAATAGACAATGGGTAAGGGCGAAAGATGGAGGTCTCATACCAATAGTGTGACAGGCATTGGTACGAGTACCGGTTTGATTAAAGGGAAAGTTTATTACTATTATATGATAGAATGTAATTCGAAAATGCCAAAGCATATGGACATTAGCTGATATATTTAGTGACTTGATTTCTTGTGTGTGGTTGTGTTTCTTTATTGAACCCGTAAAATTGTGATAATTGAGGTGATTATATGTTATAGCGACATTTGATTTATTGAGATGTTGCATCATCCTTTTTTTTATTGATATCATATTGTGCACGTGCATTGACATGAGACTGAGTGTGGGTAAAGGTCTAACACGTGGAGATCGTCCGTGTTGAGATCGAGTTATGATTATAATTTGGGCACGTGGAGATTGTTTGTGCGAGGGAGAAGTTATGATTATAATGGGGCATGTGGAGATCGTCCGTGCGAAAAAAAAATTGTTTGATTTTATGATAGTGCGTTGAGATCATCCGCACAGACACGTGGAGATCGTCCGTGTTGGAATATGGACCTCGTGAGTCCCCCATGGGTCATGAACTCTCGATGTATTTCCGAGGAGTATCATGTATATACGGTTGAGGGAGTACTTGACATATGAGGCATATCATTCCATGGTGTCACTTTGCATTGCATCTCATTACATCTTTCATTCTTGTTGATTATGTGTTTATTTGGTGGGTGGACATTACGTGAAATTTGATTGACCCTATTGACGAAAGCTTGGTTGATAAATATATTGTGGACTTGTAAAATTAAAGGATTATTTTCTTATATACTCCTGTCACTACTTCTTCGTTGTCGGTCGATGAGATATACTGGGTACACGTGGTTTCGTACTCATACTACACTTGTTGCACTCTTTTGTGGTGCAGATTGGATTTCAATTTCGAGTGCATTTCGTGGAGCTTTCAGAGCTGAGTTTTGAATTATCTTGGAATTCTAATGAGCTACTTGGCTGTTCTGCGGCCCACACCTCCCTCTATGTCTTTAGACGTTATCATTTTATTTTAGTATTTAGACAGGATATTTCTCACGTCTAGGTTTTTCATTTAGTTCCAGACTTGTATCGTAGTTTAGAAGCTCTTGTACTTATGACACTAAATCTTGGGGTGGTAATTTAGGTTTCCGCACTTCATACTTGTAAAAGACTTAGTGTTTGGGTATTATGTTTTCGCTTATCTTTCTACTTTAAATATTGAATTGAATTGGTAAAAGTATTGGGTTGGCTTACCTATCGGTTGGGAATATATGCACCATCACGATTTGTGATTTTGGATCGTGACAGATATGAAGGTCTTGAATGCGCTTGATTCTGCAAAAACACAATGGCATCACTTCACAACAATCATAATAGCTTTTGTTTCAGAGAATTTGAATACATTTGGATGATATATTTGTTTGGATTATATTTTTTGAGTTGTATCAGAACGAGTAATATAAGGATAATGAGATGTTTATTTAAAATATGATATTTTATTTTGATAGGAGAGTTTTCATCCAATTAGCTAGGGATATATGCAATAAATATCGTGATAATAAGAATATAAATAGCCAAATAATATAACGAAGAACAAATTAGCTAATAAATGGAAGTATAAAAATAATTTTAGCCCTTTTTTTCAAAGTTATAATCTACTTATATTCTTGACATAAAATATTTAACTTCATAAAAAAATTCTTACAGGAAATAAAATATTTAACTTCACCTAATAATACTAATACTTATATGTGTAAGTATTGATTTAAGCAAATAAGATATTAACCATGTGTTTGCTATATATTCCCTCAGTCCCATATTATATGTCACATTTTCTATTTGCACTTGCATTAAGAAATAAAGTAATTTTACCCTTATGCCCTTATTTAATATTTGCTTATAACAACTTTGTAATAAATGATGATATGTTAGATTTCAAAAATATAAATGTATTTGGATGACTATTTAAATTTTAGAGTTTATTTTTGGAGCCAAATTTTTACACCAATTGATCCAAAAAATTTTAAAAATCAAGTTTTTCCCACCTCAATTTTCCTATATATTTTGTGTAAAATGTTTTTTTATATTTTTATATATAATTTTTAAAGCAAACATGGCAACATCACAAAATATTCAAATTCCATTACTTCAAATTGATCTAAATTTTCCTTTGAACTTTTGAAATGTCATCTTCCTTGATAAAATTTGTTGAAGCTTCAACTTTCAAGATTATTTTTGAATTTTTTTCATCTTTTATTTTTAATTTGTTTGTTAATATTTTTTGTTCAAAATCAGATTTTATAGAATAAGTAGTGAATAAAGAAAACAGTTAATTGATGAATGAAGTACTCTTAGATTTCCTAGGTTAGTCAAAGTAAATACATTTTCAAGATTAATTAATTAATCTATCAAGAGTATAATGGGCAAAAAATGGTAATTTATGCATAAATTTTATAAAATGATATATATTGTGGTCTAGCTATTTTTAGAAAGGGGCGACATATAATATGGGACGGAGGGAGTATTACTTTAGATGTTGCTACAAGAAAATTATTTATTATAGAGATTCAAGTATGTTAACTAAAAGCTCTAAAATATTACTCCGTTTAAAAGGTGGGCAATCTTTGTCTGAAGGAAAATTTTGCAATTTTTTCTTTACAAACTTTAATATTGTCTTAGTAACAATAAAAATCATAAAATTCTTTTTGAAGCTCTAAATTTGGGAGAAATTGACAAATAGCTACTTTTCAGATTACTATCTAAGTTTATCCCAAATTTTAAAATTATTCAATATTTAGATAATGGATTAAATTAACCTTACCCTAGAACACCAAAAAAAAATTAAAAAAAATCAGTATATAATGTAGTATATTGGAATTCAAAACTATTACTTGAAGGTCACAAGTTTAAAAAATCTTTCATTATTTTTTTAAAATTTGGTGTCCAATCAACATTTTAATATAAAATGGAATAACAACTTTAGTTGCACTCTCAGGTGCCACTAAAGATCTTGTCACATCTTTAGTATCTCAACTGAAAGTCCTTTCATCCATAAAGCAATTGAAAGTAGGGCTGGCAAAAATAGAGTTTAAAAATTGAAAGTAGGGCTGGCAAAAATAGAGTTTAAAAATTGAAATTAATAATGAAAAAACAAAAATGACTTTAACCACAGGAGATGCTTGCTGCTGTGACCACCACTAGCAACTCCAACTATTGAAAATACAAGATTACAATTGAAAATAAAAATGAAAGAAATAAATCTCTTCAGGCTGAGGAGCGGATATCTCGCTCTCTTTAAGGAGATTCAAGCCCATTGCAGCAAATGTTTTCACCGGTCCAGCAGTAGTCCTTCTTGACTTGTCCC